TTAAAATCTTTGATAGAGTTTCATTTAAATAAAAAATTCTCTTTTTAAACTAGAAACAACTGCTTTTATCTCACCAGGAACCGTAGGTACAAGTCTTGACTGGGGCCTACAGGGAATAAAAACACAGTGAAAATAATCAGACTAGTTGGGTTAGCCAGTGACCTACCTCCAGCTGTTAAGAGTCAGGAGAACATCTGATCAAACAAAACTCTTTAAGCAGCAACTGTTTAAGCAGGGAAGAGATGTGTAAGAAGAGTCAGATCTTTTTCCTGTCCTCACGAGACAGCAAGAAGATCTAAGGGTTACTTAGATGCTGGAGGTTGCAAGTGGGAGAGGGACAGGGCAAAAACCCTGATCATACCCTGTTCACTTTCCCTTTGACCATCCACTTTCTGCCACTTCATGACACAGGATACAGGACAAGACAGACCTATGGCATGACCCAATAAATGGCAGTTCTTACGTAGTGTTTGTGGTTGAAACAGGCAAGAAGAAAAAAAAAACCCCACACACAAGATATTTTTCTTTTCCTGGGTAATATTTCAACATTCAAACAGATATCCAATGAATTTCTCATGGGGAAAAAGCTTCAGCTGTGCATTTTCCCTTAGCCAGTAGAATTAGTGACTGTCAACTACCGCATGGGGGTGCAGGCTTAAGAAAAGCCTTGTTCATTCATGCCATTGTACAGTACTTGCATTGCAGACTGAGTGCATCAAGGCTGAATATCACCAGTACTTCTTCCAAGATCTACTAGACATAAGGCAAGGACATATGCGCTTGAGGAAGGATCCACAAGTGAAGACAATCCCATGTGATTATACTCGAGGAATCTTCCTGGTCCCCATTGCCCAGAGAAGAGCACAACTTGAATTCATCTGTTCTCTTATTCCACAGCTCCAGAGTCTCTAAACAAGAACCTATCCGCCACGTAACACCACTGAGAGGGGAAAGCTAGCCTCAAACAACAACTACTGATCTTGCTTTCACTGGCAACATGATTCCACGCTGTATTAATACTGGATGCATGCTCATGCAGTCCCACATCTGGAGCTTTCCCCTGCAACCTAAGGATTTTTTACAGCAACTATCACTGTAAGTTGTTAGTAGTTTACTGTAGCCAGCCACACTGCCCAGCTCCAGCTGCGATGCCATTTGCATTCCCTGCATTGCTATAGCCTTCCTCTTTCATAGGTGTCCCTGCTTAACGCACCTGCTAGGTTATGCTCTTATCAGCGGGCAGGTCTCTGAAGAGTGAAAGCCCAGAGGGCAACAAGGATGATTAGTGGTATGGAGGAGCTTCCATATGAGGAGAGACTAAAGAGCTGAGGCTTATTCAGTTTAGAAAATTGATGCTTGAGGAGGGACATGGCAAGGGTTTACAAAATACTAAATGGCAAAACGAGTCTATAGGGATTTATTATTTACCATCCGTCATTAGACAAGAATTAGGGGTCACAACATAAAAGTAGTAGGCAGTGAGTTTAAAACTAACAAAAGGACGTTCTTTTTCACACAGCGTGTCATTTAAGTGTCGAACTCATGGCCATCAGATGTGGCAGAAGCTGACAGTTAAGACAGATTCAAAAAGGGATTAGACAAATTAGTGGAGGAAAGGGGCCTGGGAGTTAGTGATACAGCCTCCAAGCCAGAACTTCCTATAATTTAAATGCTGGAGGCTGCAAGTGGGAGAGAACCAGTGCAAAACCCTAGTTCACTCACCCTTCAGCACCCACTCTCTGCCCCTCTGTGACACAGGACACTGGGCTAGGTGGACTGTGGCAGGGCACTAGGGTGCCTGCTACTGAATGATGGTAAAAGGGGCTTAACTGCCACTCATTAGGGCAGCAGTTGGGAGTTGCTGTAGTAACTGATTGGGTCAGCTGACTGCCAGGGGGCAGGGCCTGGCCTTCATAACCAGAGAAGGCTGAGGCCAGAGGTCAGTTCCCCTCTGGCAGCTTCAGAAGCAGGAGCTCTGTCAAAGCAGAGCTGAGCAGTACCTTAGAGAAGCCTGGTGGCTGGAGAGCGGCTGCTTGGCAGTACGGGGTGGAGGGAACCCAGAGAAGGAGATCCGTGAGTGAGGGAGCCAGGTTTGCCTGGAACTTATGTTGGGACCCTGGAGGGGGAGTTTTCTGTTGTGCTTGGAAGTTGTGTTTTGGGAATTTAATTATTGTTACTAAACTGGAGGACTGGGTGAGGCTGTAGGGGTGGAGGAGGCCTCAACAGGAGTCCCCCCAGTAAGGTGGGGGTGCTCCAAGTGCCAGGGAGGGTGCTGTAGTCAGCGCCAGTAGGAGCCGCTGCGGGCTATGCGGGCACGGGTAAGAGACTCCGGTGCAGGCTTCGTGAGCACAGACAAGAGGCCCAGTGGGCGAGGGCGCGAGAAGCACTGTAGGCCCAGTGGGTGTGAGAAGCGCGGCGCGGGAAGCACGAGTTGGCCCCAGTAGGGCATAAGCCCAAGAAGGTGGGTCTGGGGGGGGCCAGGTAAAGCTAAGGCCGCCTGAGCCCCAACTGTGAGAAGCCCGAGTCAGGCATACGACCCTAGAAGGGGTCTGGGGCCAGGTAAGGCTGAGGCTGCCTGAGGCCCGAGCGTGGGCTAGGGCACGCGAGATGAGGCCTGAGCGCGGGCATATAATCCTGCAAGGGGTCTGGGGCCAGGTAAGGCTGAGGCTGCCTGAGTGTGCGAAATGTGAGAAGCGCGAGTAGCGGCCCGAGTTGGGCAAGGATTGCGGGGCACGGGCCCAAGTGTGGGTGACTGTGAGATGTAGGAGAGGTAGGCCCCAGTGGGGCGCTGCCTGGAAGGGGGAAGCTCTGAAAGGGGGCGAGCCCAGTTGGAAGCCTGGTGAGGGCAAGGAGTGCATGAGTGCAGAGGAGCAGGCCCTGGGAGAGAGGGGGTGCATGTATTGAGGAGAGCCTCTACGGAAGGAACTTTGGCAGGCAACCGGACCAGGCCTGGCATAGCAAGGCAGGCACCGTGTCAGCACAGAAAGGAAAGGCAGCCTCCCCTAAACACTTAAAGGATCAAAGATGTGGTGGGTGAGATTGGTGAGGGTGCATTCTGACACCAGCTAGACACGGTAGCCAGGGGGTGCTAGGGGAGTTCACAGCCCCCCTAGGGCGTCCTGCCACATAGCTCTATGGCCTGACCCAGTAAATGGTAATTCGTTCTTGAATCTAGCCCACTGCTATAGCCCCTGGTATGCTGCTTGCTAAGTTTGGCTCTTCTGCATCTGTTCTGGTTGGGCCAGTTTCCTCCTAGTAGGTTCACTAGTTCTCTCTCTAAATCCCCTTTACTTCAAGTTCCTTAATCTTCCAGGCAGGCCCCAAATGAACATAGCCTCTGTTACAGCCAGGCTTACCCAGTTGATTCCTTAGGTCTACCTTCCTTTAGCAAGAGCTGTTTTCCTCCATGGTCGGTCTTTTCTGCCTCCTACTACTGGGGTTCTTCCCTTGTATTTCAAAGTGGTGTTTCTCTTTGAGGGCTCTGTCCACTCTTCCCTGTTATAGCTACAGACAAACTAGATCTGTCTAACAAAGCTCCCAGGGAACTCTTTATTGCTGTGTAACATGAGACAAGACTGCAGAAACCACTACTTCTCCTAAAGCCTGGCTGAGCTCCATCCTAGCAGGATCACTGTAGGAGGAAATTCAGATTTTGAGGCTAGGAGAGAGCAACAGATCACTTAAACTGATCTCTTGTACAAATACACAGGCCATAACACTTTCTCCTTCTACAACAGGGAGATGGCAAATAGAATTCTGCAGAGGTGACAACTGCTTACCAACCCTGCAGGACTTCAAAAGATCCGAGCTGCAGATTGTACTGCCTCATCCACAGCACTTATACAGGCATGGAGGTAGCTCATGCTCCCCCAGGACTACAGATTTAAGGAAAACACAGGTTTCCCAAATCAAGATGATTTACACTTGCTTTCAATACTCAACTGCAAATATTAGCAAATATTAAATTTAAGGTTTAAAGAAACATAGTATTTTTAAAGCCTAACAGTGGAAATCATCATCTAATCCAAATAAACTAGGACCTGACAGAGAGATTTTTCTGACTTATGCTGAAAGAACCCAAATGCTAAATAGGCCTCTAACCTATTCTTGGCTTACCCACATTAACTGCATACTATTCTGCTGTGATTACACTGCAGCATGGAACAGAACTTAAAACTGCCACCAGAATTCAAGAGGTTACCAAATAATTACTAATAAGCAGCAGAAATGCACTAGGACAGTTTCTGCCATGGTGCTTTAACAGAGGATAAAGAACAGCCAGAAATTTCAGTGTGAACTGGGTGTTTCATTTACATACAATATCTTCTAGTACTAGACACATGTAAGGAACACTGTTAGAACCACAGAACATTGTGGTATGCTACATAAAAATAAATCTTTCAGAACTGCTTTGTCTTGCCCTGTTTCTTTGCACTGTCTCCAACATCAAAAAAACCCAGCTGGGCTGAATCCAACTGGAAAAACCTTAAATGGAAGTCATTAAGAGGCTGTTCTCACAGGCAATCTTTATGTTGATTACAGCTGCCCTGTGCATGCCTTGCTAAGTAGGAACCTACTGCAAAGTACCAAAGACTTCAATTTTACGGAGTTTTAAAAAGCACCTAAAAGTGCTTTCAATAGAAGAAAATAAGTCTGGCTTTAAAGAGGCTATAAATGGGTACCTTCTCCAGGTTCCCTGAATGGGAAAAGAGTGCATTCATTATTTCACAGGAGGCCTTTGAACCACCGGCAGAGTCAGGCTCAGGCAGCATACATGGGTAAATGGTATTATACTTCAGTACACCAGCAGAAATCAAGTTCACATGACACTCAGTGTGATCAACCAATTACCTAGCTGTATAAAGGAGAAAAAGATCAGACCATTTTCCCTTACTGATATTTTTCCATTCTTCCATTAGATAATAAAGCAGATCATTTGTGTACAGATTTACAGGCAAGGACAGTAACCATTAGAACATGGCTATTTAAAAGGAAATAGATAAACAACTTAACCATATTTTATTTGACTGCAGCTTATTTAGACAGCTTGTACATTTCATAACCCCAATGTTCTTATTCTCTCCAAAGGATAAAAGGACAGAATATAATCCACTCAAAACAGCAGTCCAATATTTTGAGATACACTTGATATTTTATAGATACCCATCCGATACCCAAACTCCAAATATAATTTATGGTACGTTTATACAAGACTTGAAAACCTTTTAACATAGCACTCCATTTTTGTGATGACTTGCGGTGCACTGAAAAATAGTTGTGATTCACTACTTAACGCCAATTAAATTATGCCTATTTTTTCTGAAAGTGATAAACCTGATGGTTTCTCTCCCTTCTTGTTTTAAACATTGTAATGCAAACATCCACTCTGACGTATGTCAGCCAACAGCAGTGTTTGGGCAGCATAAAGAAGTTAAACATAAAAGTAACTTAATACCAACTCCATAGTTCAGATTTGTCAATGCAAAAAAGGGGATGTGTCTTAGCAACAGACAAGAAAAGTGACTGATACTTTTCTAGATTCTGTGAGAAGTTCTATTCAAATTAAGCTCTCATCCTGCTGAAAATACATCACATCCATCCATGACATCCAACCCCATGCAGCAAAGTGAGGAATATACCTGTATCTCTGAACACCAACAACATGTACAGCTTCAGTATCTTCGGTGGTGAACTGTGTGTTATACAGTAGCAATATTAGGATTTTGTAGACATTCTTTTAAAAGAAAGGCACACCCATTTTGCTCAGCATCCTGAAAGTTTGCATGGTGAAAGTTGCTTCTTGCTTTAAACGGATGGAATTGTATTTGATTTTAGAATGCACAACATGACAACTGTGGCACCACCTACCTGAAATATTAAGCTAGTTTCTAATGTGCTTTTAAGAAATCGGAAAGCCCTCTGCTTTAATATTAACCAATAGAAGACGCAAAAGAAAGACTGCATTTGCAGTTTCCATTACTTGACCTTGTACAATGTGCAACAGCTTTTAATAGGATGTGGAATTACTTTCTTCTGAACCACTGATTCAAATGAGCCAGAACAGTTCTCCATTTTGTAGGCCACTAAAGCACCTATGTGAAATTAGCCTATGGTCAGGAGTTAGTTTACTAATATGTGATGAAATTTTACCTACAATTAGCACCTACCAACAGACAGGAGAGATGACAGATTCATCCCTAAGAGTTGTCTAACTGGAACAAGTTTGAATTGCATTACAAGGTGGAAACACTGATGTGAACCACGTTGAGTTCGTTCTGTGAACAGCAGATTACTTCCATTTATCTTGCTGGGATTCTGGCACCATTTTAGAGCCCCAAATTAAGTTTTAGAAATGGATAAATGAAAAACACTAATGGTGTCCACAGGGAGAGAAAGCAGGAGTGCCAATTTAAACTTACAAACTCACACCTTTATTTTCAAATACAATTCACAATTTTAGAACATGGGGAATGCTTATCACCATGTGAACATTCAGTCTGTGCAAAATCAGGCTGACTTTCCTTCAAATCCAGTTTTCCTTCGAGGGGACCTGTTCCAAATGTTACTGGAGGTAGGGTTTGTAAATGTACAGTAATTAACAATTAAAAACATGACTCTAACCAAACCCTAACAGACGCAGTGTAGTAAGGCAAATTTGAGGATTATGCACAGTACAGAAAAGCGGATTCATTGAGAGTTCAGCCTTTTTCATGGGTTACTTAGGTTCTTCCAGTTACATGAATAAGCCAATAGCACAGTGTTTGTTTTTTTTCCCCAAAAGTGAAAAAACAGCTCATCTATAGACCTAGTTATACATCTCATTGTTCAAACGAGTGTAGACATAGTCTAACTAGTGAATAAATTGATGGCTTTTGGTAAAACCCGTGTAAGCCCACTTTAAAAAAGGGAAGTCCCTTCCCCGCTGAACTTATTGTGGATAGGGGGAAGTGAAAAAAGAAGGATCCCCTGATAACTTAACTCAGGTAAGTTTACAGAAAATGACAGCAGCTAAAAATAGATACAATGCACCTTGAAATTTATTTCCAAGACCAAAAAAACTGAAGATTGAAGCATTTTAGAACACTGAAGCAAAGCAAACCGAATCTGGAAAAAAAAGTCCCAACTATTTTAAAACAGCTGTTTTTCAGAGTGCCGAGTGATAAATTTGATTAAATAAAATCATACCAATTTACATTATTTTTCTTTTTTTTCTTTTGTAAAAAGTCCCTCACTTTTAAAGAAAAAGTGCATCCAAAACCAGCAGAAATTTGCTGGTAACATCAGGTTCTCTTTTAGCAGCTACTCAAGGTTTTCAAAATAGCTTACACTTCTTGCTATAAGAAAAGAAGGGCCTTCCAAACCCTTGTCTGGGAGAAATATCCAAATTATAAAAATCTAAAATAATTTATTATCAAATCCAGAATTTAAATAAAAGCAGAAAGTTTTCTTGCAGAGACAATCAAAAAAGGTAAAAGAAAAAAAAAAAGCATGCACTCAAAAAAATTAAGAGGTGAAGACAAATATACTTATCTATACAGGCACTGGCAGACGCAATTTAAATTGTTACCGTTACTCATTGTAACACACACCCCACCCTACAATACATTTTTTTTTCATTCACTAATCACTGAGGTACCAATATTTAAGAATGGATAATTCAATATGGAAAAATAAAACCTAAAATTGAAGCCTTTTTTCCAGAAAACTATGGCAAGTTTTGTATGAAATGTTAGTATACTTAAGAGAATTTTACAATCTACATTGGCTTTTTTTCTGGAACCAAACGCTGTGTTCCACATACAGGTTCTTTGATAAAATGTTCACTGTGTATGTAATACAGTCAGTAGACTTGCAAATGAACGAACGTATCTTGGCTATCAACTGGCACATCCTGCTGGTACCAAAAGAACTCGAAGTTTGAAACAATCTGGTTTAATTCAGAACAAATGTGCCATGCCAAAGTGCAACAAATATGTGCGACACTCAATGAGACACTGACAGATAAGAGCTGCATGGAAATTACTAAGTCCACCTGCAAAGCAATTCTGTACAAATTGCAATGCATGCAAAGGACAACTCTGCGCTGTTGGGAAGTTGGTTGCTTGACGTGGTGGTTTCTTTTAACGCAGCCATAGTTTAAGACGCAGTGCATCAACTCCATTTAAATAGTATCTGAACAGCCTCTTATCTCGCACAAAACCAAGGTTTTCATAAAGTTTCAAAGCAGACTTGTTCGTGATTTCTGTTTCCAAGACAACCTTTAAAGAAAATAAAAGGGCAAGTCATTTTTGAGATTTACATGGTTTCAGAAAATTATTTACAAAGCAACCTGATCAGATTTAAAGCTTTACATTAAACTGGCCACCTATAATTACTGTATCATCAAAACAATTTTGCAATCAATGTTTTCTTCCTGTTAATAACTGAGAAAGAGAAACAGTGTTATAAGTTCAATAGTTATGCAACAATGATTCATGGTTTGTACAAATAAATTTCACCTTATATCAAATGGCCACCGACTGCCTTGAACATTACTTCAATCAAATATGTGATAGTTGGAATTTCCCCACTGAATGGCTAAGGACCCAAGCTGGGTGTTACTAAGTCAGCTGCTTGGGTGAATAACTTAACTGTTATAAGCTACTTACAACTAAGCAAAGCCATTTTTCCATTTGCTCAAGTTTTACTTTGCAATTAAACAGATTTGGCTACAAATCCAAATTTAGCTTTCCATGAACATTTGTTTGAATAAATATTTGTATGAACATTTACTGTGAAAACTCTAAACAAAATTCTAAGCAGGCTCAGGCCCTTACAAAGGCTTTTGTATTATAAGGGGAAAACCCTGGGTGTCATACATTTTGCCATACACTACCCCCAGCTCTTCCTAGTATAGGTCTGGAAGAGAACAAAAAAACCCTTCTTGCTACCCTGCTAAGCACTGGCAATGGAGGGACCAGTCACGGGTGTTACAGTCAAGGTATAAATTTAGTGACTTTCTCCAACTACAAGTTACACTACGAGCCATAAGAGCTCCTGGCAGCCCCAGGCACAGGGTGGACAGGAGGAGGAATAGCAACAGAACAAAAGTTGGAAGTTAGTGTTGCTTCTTCAGCTCTTCTGAACAAAAACCTGGCCCTCCAATCCAGTCTTGTAAAACTGACACATACATTATTCACTTAATTCTAGTGTTAGACTGGACTTTTAGGCATCAAACGTGGTTCAGGTTCAAGAATGCACTGAATGAAGATGAATCAACAGGCCGACTACACTATGTATCAATCTATGCCTGACTTCACAGATGAAATACAAAAAAAGCCAACCCCCCAATACTACAGTGATGGCGATAACATAAAAAGACAATAGAAAATAAAGACACCCGTATTTAAATTTTTGCAGTGAGCCAAGAATGAGCTCATGAAACAGCTAACATTTCTGAACTGTAGCATTTCATACCTACTGTAGTTAGAAATGGTAACAAGCAGTGTCCCCCCACAAGGTAGTACAGTAGAAACAACAAGAAAAATAACCCAAATGCAACAGGGCCAAAATACTAGACCAGCCCCTTTTATTTACTTCAAATGTAGCTACCACAATCTCTGAAATGTATGTACAGAGGTGTAATAAATACCCATTCATTTTACACACTTTAAACTATGCATTCAAATCCAAAAACTTCCGACCACATATCCCAGCCATCCATCCCTACACATCAATCTCCCAATGGGTAAATCATGTCCAGAAATGTAATGATTTTGGGTTCTAAGAGACCAATGGAACATGCATAACAGGAAAACTGAAAAGGGAGAGGCTAAATTTTTTTTTTTTTTAAAGAAACCTGAAATAAGATTTTATTAATATATAAAAAGACCAAAATCTTTTCAATTTATTATTTTTAAAGTAGGGTGATTAAAATATAAAGGTCAGTTTGTTTGATCTATATTCTTGCAATGGGCTAATTCAGATTCTCTGCCTCCTATGAAGAACTAGATACTGAATTTATGTTTTTTAATATGCATCATTACCTCACTGGAATCCTAATATCAGGACTTCTAACTCAACAAATTTGCCCTACAATTTTTAATCAATTCAAATTAACCGACTTCCAACTTTTGTCCTGTTGCTTTTTCTTTCCCTACATTATAAGGTACAAGAAATTGCCTCTCAGCTCAGATCAAAATAAAGTATTTATGCTGGGCAAGAAATACAACTGGCAAAACTAGTGCTGAAAATGAAACTTGCTTGAGCTTTGTCTACAAACAGCATTCATCTTCATTAAAGTTTAGTAACTTGGTAGAGTAAGATAACATGCCTGTGCCCAGTTGCAAACCTGCATGTTCATGCTATTAGCCTGGAAGGCCTTGGAAATTGCTCTCCACTCTTTTCGCAAGTCACCTATTTAAAGGAGTACTTAACTGCTAAAATTCAGGTTTGCCAAAACCCCAATTATTCAAAGAGCTGGCTTTCAGGATGAAACTATGTACTAACAGTTTGAGATCCCTATTATAAAAACGCAGTAATGCTTAACGCAAAGACAGATAAGTCTCGTGATGTAAAGAAGTGTTTGTTTGATCACACAAAAAGATAAATTGTTTCACGACATGAATACAGTAGTTACTGACAAAACTAAGTAAGTTAGTAAGCTTTAAATTTTAAGAACGTTAGAGCCCTTTCAGAAAGGCCATCAGATGTTAGTATACGTGGCTGCAGTAGCCCTGTCTAGGTTCTTTTATGGCTGTGCAGTCTTGGGATTCAAGTATTTTTTCTCCATATTTCTCAAATGGTGAAAATGGATTCAGGAAAAGGGATTAAGTGATCAGTACAGAGCAAGTGAGTGGTGCATCCGAAAATAGAACCCAGTTTTGTTAATCCCCGATGGAGCCCTGTCCCCTGCTTTACGCAGGAATGCCATTCCCAACTGTCCAATAGGAAGCTAATATTTGAAGACCAATATCAATAACAGCATGAAAATGAACAAGTACCATATTTACTCAGATCCAAGATGACACTGGATTTAAGATGTCCTCCCAGTAATTAGATTTTTTTATATAGAAAATGTATACGTGTTATAATTTTCCAGGTATCAGTTCTAATTACTGGAGTGTCATCTTAAATTCACCCCTGCCTCGCTACAACTGGGAAAGGCAGCCCTCTGCATACTTCACCCTCCTTCCCGTTGCAGACTGCTTGCCCTTGCGCCCACCCAGTGCCTGGCTCCCTGCAGCCTCTGCTCCCCACCTTGACTGTCAGATACTGTTCTGGCTCCATTCCCTCCCAGGGCATGGAGCACATGGCAGTGCAACCCCTGCCAGGTGGCAGCTGGAGCTGTCACCACTGCTGATTGGCTGGGCAGGGGACAGTTTCCATGTGCTCCATGCCCCCGGAAGGAATGGGGCTGGAGCTGGAGAAGCATCTGACAGCAATAGGGGATGGGGAGGTGAAGAGGCTGCAGAAACAGGCGGGAGGGGGTGTACGTGGTTCCTGTGGTTCTAACTCTGGCCCCAACCTGGGCTTGGTGCCAAAGTCAGAGCTCCTGTAGCAGCTACTTGCCACCCCGCACCATGCCTTGTACTCAAATCCAAGACAGAGGGCTCCCCTCTCCCCCACTGTACGGGAAGGAAAAAAACCCCTCATTTTGAATTTGAGTAAATATGGCATATTGTTGAAAAGTTTGTTAAATACTGAACTGACATCTTGTAAATGTTGGGGGGAATAAAGCCCCTACTCATCCTGCCTGAACACTGATTTTTTCATGAATGCTAAAACATATCCTTGTATGCAAAGATGGACCCAGCTGTGCAAAGACTGTTCCTCTTCCTGTGTGTCGTTTCAAAACCAAGCCCAATATGTTCAGTGATCTCACTCACTTATGTCCTATAATCCCCCACAGCCAGTATGCTTTGCATGTACAAGCATGCCTGGTAATCTCTTTAATAACCTAGAATAATCTCTGCCTCTATCTACCTGCATCAGTACTGCCTGAATTAATTATTATGATAGCTCTTTCTGCAGCAGGGGCAGCTGCAGAGGAGTGTGCTGTGAAGGGGATGGGTGGCTCAGTACAGCTTGATGCCTCCCGATGCTCTGGGTTGTTTTGGGCTGGGGCACACCTTCCCAAGCCAGATGCAGCCTCTTTATGGCCTATATTGCTGTATGGGGGCAAACAACTTAGTAAGTTTCTGAGACCATGCTTTCTCTGAGCAATCTGAAATACTACCGTATCCATCTTCTACTACATACAAAAAAAATGAAACAAGACCAGGGCAGATATCATGACACTAACAGACAAGAGTAGAGAAATGTTAATGTGTCATTAAAGTTGTATTCCCAGTTAAAGCAGCAAAGGGCTATGCTTTTTCTTATTCAGTAGGCATCAAAGTGGATTGACTTAAAGTAAGTTTGAATTATAAGCTTTAATCATGTGATTGATTTTTATGGTCACCCCCAATCGTATTTGCACTGCGTTTTCTTACAAGAAATATTGATTCTCATTGGTCAATAGCCATTAAAATACATTGATAAATAAAGCTTTTACACTAAATTTAGCACACATTTGCTAATTGGAAAGATAATGTATATGTGAAGAATCACTTAATTACATAGTTCAAACCTAGTTGCATTAATTTTACATTTTCTATTACAATAGAAAATGATACTTTTTATTATTAGCTTAATCATTTTTGTTACTTGCGTCAAGTTGTATTTTGATGAAAACCAGAATTCAGTTAAAATACACAAACCCCCAAATCTTAAAACTTTTATCTGTTAGATAAACTTTCTTAGATATCAACCATATTTAATAGGCCTGTACAAAGCAGCTAGTATTCACTTCAGATTTGGCCAATTCGGGGGACAGCGATTCAATTTGACGATTTGAATCACTGTCCTGAATCGATTTGGCTGAATCACCCAGGCTCATCCCCAGCTGGGTCTCCCAGCCCTGGCAATGGCTTGCCCCTGCTCCTGGCACTTTGGGGGGTGGGAAAAGCACTAACTCACCAGCTTCTGCTGGGCAGGGGGGCAATCCCCGCTGCCCCCCAGCTCCAGCCCTTCAAGGAAAAAAAACCCAAAGATCCTACACTCACCAGTTCCTGCCTGGTGGGGGCAATCCCTGCTGCCCCCCGCTACCCTGTTCCATGTGGGGGGCTCTTCCACAAGCCCCCTGAAGCCCCGAGGCTACTGCAAGAGCCAGTGAGTCCAAGGGTTTTTTTCTTTTTCTTTTTTTTTTTAAAGGGCTGGAGCTGAGGTGGGCAGGACA